TCATTTTTGGGTCAGTTTTCAACCGATCATTCTGGTTCTACTTATGACCAGGAGTCAGAACCATTCACTGCTATGTTTGAAGACACAACAATTGACAGGCAGACATTGTCTTACTGGCCTCCTCTCTGTTTTTGTGAGATCTTTAAGTCACTCCAGGTTTACAGGCTGTGAACTTGGCTAACCAAAGAAGTATCAAATTCAACCACCCAAAGTCGACAGTTTACTGCAACGTGAAACTTCTGCCTTTTAACTTTTGGTGCGCCGCTAAACCCTGTGAATCTCTAAATTGCACCTCCCCCCCCCAAAAAAAAAGTTTGTTTGAACATAAAACTTGTTGGAAGTCTGTCAGAAAAAATGTTTGTTTAACGTCATGCACGCACAAATGTTCACCTTCAGATAGATGGGCAGTGTGCGGCGTTTGTGTCTCCTTGCTGTACAAGACCAACTCTTTGGGTTGGAAGTCAACTTGTGTGATCTTGGAGGCCCCCAGCTTCTGCATCCTCCGCCTGGTTCACAGAGAAAGGTGCCTTTCTTTGAATTATGGAGACACTCAAAACAGCTTTCATTACCGTCAAATTGAATTGCATCTGAGTCGTATTTTGTTTTGTTTTTAGATGACATACCCGAGCTCGGAATCTGACTGAAGCTGCAACACGGAGGGGTCTGTGTCCCACTGCAAGGTCCTGACATCACCAACAGAGGGGGTAAAAGAGCATACATGTCATCAACAAGCTATAATTGGGATTAAAAAAAAAAACAAAAAAAAAAAAACGGCAGGGATAAATCATTTAAAAAATAATTGCCACCATTATTGTGATGTACAACCTGTACAATTCATCCGAGGAAGGAAAAAAAGAAACGTGAAGTAAAAATAAACAACTGAGATAAAGTAGTTACATAAGTGTACACACCCTCTTATGACAGGCTGCCTGTTGAGAATTAAGAACTCACATTCAAACTCATGTTCAGTGGCAGTCAGCACAAATCTGCCGCCATTTCGGTTGTTTCTGATTAACCCCAAAGAGAATTTAGTTGTTCTTGAAGCCTTTTTCTGAACTTTCCACATTTGTGACAGGCTTCGGCTCACCTGACATGACTTGTATAGGTTATAGATCACACGGTGGACAAGGTTTTGAAAGGCTTTATCTTCACGACTTTTATATCACAAAAAAATGGTTCTTGAAACGACGAGACTTTTAATATCCCGTTATATAATTGACTTATCCGCGTTCAAGGTCAACATCAAATTCAGCACATCATATGGACATGTTTGATTGGCGTGAACATGTTTGACAGATACGATGACGCCCCTGCCATGAATGATGATCATGAAAAAAGCTGCAGAGGAGTCTTTCATACCGAAGCAAATACAAAGTTACGTGTGCGAAGGCAAGCCGGCGCTGAGCCCTTCCATTTTTGAGAAACGCAACACTTCCAATCACATTTCCCGTTTTGATGATACCTTTCAGGGCCACTGAGTGCACCCATCAGACCTTCAGCCTGTGCCATTTCATTAACCTGCCAGAATGACTGTTTTTACACTATCCGTGAAGACACAGACTGTCAATTCCCGATAAGGCTCAAGCGACGGCAATCTTTACAAATTGAGGAAGACATCCAGGCTGGAGAAAAAAAGTCACGAGCCAAGTGCAAAGGAATGAAAAGGGAAAACTGTCAACCGCTGTGTTTTGATCCGATAAATTATGATTGCCACACAATAGGTGGATCCCTGTCATCTCTCAAGAGATTTGCTTACCTTGAGCTTTGTACCTCAGACAAGCCCGACCTATGAAGTGGAACACAAGCACACACAGCCGCAAATGGAGATGCTCAAAACGACGGCACTGTTGTCCAGGAGGGGTCGTGGGACTGGAGGTAACTTACTCAATTTGTCAAATTGATTTCCAAAAAGCCAAACAAATTGTCAACACTGGCAACTTTACGATTTTTGACCCCAACTCCACCTCTGGCGACACCAGTGTGACACATACCACTTTGTATTGATGACTCACACATTGACCTCAACAGTTAGCTGCCATTGTGCTGCAGCCAAAATGTGCTTGACGATAATTAGGTAATATTGGAACACACACAATACATTTATTGTGCACACTGTATCGGTATGGCTTGCTGACACGATATATCAGAAGTGCTCCATTTTCAATGCAGAAGAAAAGCAACTGAATTTGTCAAAAATCAATAGCAGCTGAGGTGAGTGCCCGTGTTCCACTGGGCATCAAATTACAGACACGATGGCAAATGTCGTCACATGCAAAACACCACACCTTCGCCACGTTATACACATTCTTACCTAAATCTGTGATGCAATTCACACAAGACAGAGAAGAATATATGTCAAAATAAAAGATGAGGCAAAATTATTGCCAATCCAAAACACTTTGCTAGCTCGATCTTGAGGTGCATGAGGCTTTGAAATCAAAAGAGAATGTCATGTTCAGAATGATGGGTCGTAATTCCGAAATGAAGCAATGGCTTTGTGACATCCACGTTGTAACTTTTCGAGTCGAAATTGTGCCGTACCTGCCCGCTGCTCCGCCATCGGCTGAATCCTGGCTCTCTGTTTCACTTGGCGTGCTCATTGATTTTGACGGGGATAAAAGATTTGGCACTGAAAAATATGCAAATGCAAATTTTGCATTGTAAAATACATATTTATGAAAATCTGACATCGGTTGGCCCCGTTTCGCATTCACTGTTAACGCTTTGAAAGTGTAAAAATACTGTAGCTCAACTTGGAAGATGGCTTCACAATTATGAGGCGTTGTTACAGTATTCGACCACAAGAGAACAGCATTTCTGAAACCCAACTGGAAGTGTAAGACACTCTTGGGAGTCCCAACTAATCTATTCGAAATGAGCACAGGATGATGATACACTTATACAGTATAGAGACTTGTGAGCCAGCCAGATTCAATACTGCACCGACAAAATACTGTATCTTTACAGCATGCTATCATTAAGTCGATCAAGGAGGTCCAGACCTAAAGGAGGCTCGGGTGAAATGCCGATACTCTGCAGCAGGGCCTCTGTCTCTCGGCGCTTGCGGTCCAAGTCTGAGTCCTCTGAAGTCGCCTCCGTCTTCTGTTGGCTCTCTGCCTGCACAGGAGAATCCAAAAATAAATTCAAAGGTGCAGATGTGTCAACTTAAATGCGGTGCGATCGACTTACTTTTTTGGTTCCCTCTTTCTTCTTCCTCTCCTCTTCTTTTCTCTTTTTCTCCTCCCTGATCTGGGCGAGGCGCTGCTTCTTGCGCTCCAGCTCTGCTTTTAGGTCACTTTTGTCCGACATGGTCTTCTACTGAGGCTTTTGGGGTTATAACACTGTGTTATTGAATCACAATGATCAGAGTGAGACATTGTTTTTCAGAAACAACGAAGTCTACATAGCTTTACATCAAGAAAACGCTTATAATTTCACTCTGCAGTTAAACCATGACCCTGCATCAAATGCTACCTGACAGCATACAGTACCAAATACATGATCGGAATAGGATAAATACAAAAGCAATTTACCATGCAACGCCAGTAGAAGGCAGATGTTAACAACCACGTCTGTGGCCGTTAACCCACAGCTCGCAGCTCAAACATCAGTCACCTAAACCTCACCTGAGAATTCTAATGGTCTGCATGCATTTATGTTACATTTAGAAACACGCTCTCTTCCTACCTTGTCCACTCGTGTTGATAATGATGTGTCACGGCAAAAGATGCTGTCTCACTGCTACGCCCCTAGGTTTCAACACATCCTTTCTCTAGATGTCATTTAAACAGAGGGCGTTCAATAAGGCACCAAATTGGTCTTCCGAACCGTTCGGCGAAGCTTACGGATGGCAGCGGCTGAAACGGTGCATTTCAGATAACGGTGACTCTAATAAGACAAGAGGCAGGTGGAGATCCAGAAGCGGAGGAAAAGATTGATGCTGAGGAAGAGGGACTGTCCCTATTGTCATGGCTTTTGCTACACTGCCATCTTCTGGACTCTTCAAGTAAATGACTGTGATTTTTTGTATTGGCGTTGGCTACGCCGCCATCTTCTGGACACTCCAAGAACGTAATTGGAGATCCTTCACAGCTTCTCGTGCCGATAAAAGTCATTTTACATTTCATATTACCGAGTTTCCCCTATAGGCGTCTGCTCTTTGTCCGAATAGTCATTTGTTTAACGCAATTGGATGACTATGATGCACACACACAAAAATGTTACTATTGAGGCAAAGCTGCACTTCGAGTGCTACTAGTTAACAACTAGTACTTCAATAATAGTACTAGTAGCATGAGATGGCAACCCTTGCAGTTTTGCCTCAACGGTGACAGGTAGTTCAACCGTTGTGCAGAGATTCATACAGTAATGAAGGTGGTACTGGAAAAAAAATGTCACGAGGGACTAGTAAAACGAATTTGTTCTGCAGACATGTTATACTGTAGTGGAATAAGCAGTAAAGGAGAAATGCCACGCGGCGTATTTCACACGTATGACAGTCTTGTAGTGGACATAAATATTTACAGGAGGGAAAGGCAATTGTGGAAAAATGTCACTAGGCGTTTGAGCAGGTTCTTTACTTGAGGACACTACACTTTTATGACAGTACGTCAGCGCTTCTCGTGCCGGTATGGTCATTTTACATGCCGATGATTTCATCGAGCACCAACGGTGACTCGGTGCATCTGTTGCGATCTGTTTCAACAAAACTGCAGCGTTTAGATCCGCGCATTGATTTATTTCATTGACTGCAGGTAATTCGGTCTCTGGGAGATGTCCGACAACGTTATCGCTCGAGCAAGCGCATTAGTGGGGCATACTTTGACAATATAACGTAATGTTTTGTTTGTAAATAAAATGACAACTCTTGTATGCACTTGAAGTGTTCTACCGGTGGGGGAGGCTGTGGTTTATTGGTTTGCGATGGGCTCTAGTTTGTTTCTTGACGACCCTCCGTCCCTCCCAATCCTCGCAAACATGGCGGCCATTGGTGTGATTCTATGTCAATCTGTCGTCGTCTCCGCCCAACAACAGTCCTGTCCAAACATCATTTTTGGTGGGTCAAATCATGCGAGGCGCACCCTGCCGCGGAGAAAGTAATGTGCATTTATTACTCATTTCAGCATCTAATCGGCAATGTTAACCAAGAGCCTTCTTTCACTGTGTGTTTGCTAGACAAAAAGCGGCAAACTGGAGTGTGTTGAGGGAAAGAGCGTTCGTGACAATTGGGCTCTTTCGGGACAGCAACAATGAAGTTCGCACAGTTTCTCATGAAAAACAGCTCAGTGGCCGGAATACCGAAGCAAGTGGAGAGGTTTTCAAAGTTCTCCCCGTCGCCTTTGTCGATGAAGCAATTCATTGACTTCGGTAAGTGTTTCCAGGACAGTTAATTATGTTGCCGGGGGTCTTCAAACAAGATGAGCTAACTTCTTTCAGAAGGTGATTTTTAACTATTGCAGATAGTGTAATTTTTTTCATGTATAGTACTCTGAATGAGCACAGAAATTGACACAAAGACTTTTGCATCGGTGCCAGAAAGCACAACTGCCCTTGAGAGGTTGCAGTCAGAAGTTGCACAATTCTTCAATCTATGGTCTTTTGGAACAGGAGCTCCATCATCATTTGACAGAATCGGGCCAAAGTTTGTTTGCTAAGTTGTTTTGTTTTACCCACGTGACTACAGGCTCTGCCAATGCGTGTGAGAAGACCTCGTTTGTGTTCCTGAGGCAGGAGCTCCCTGTAAGGCTGGCTAACATCATGAAGGAAATTGATTTTCTCCCGGACAAGCTCCTCGGCACTCCTTCTCTGAAGCTCCTCACAAGTTGGTAGGACACATCAGATACATTCTCCTTTTATGCGCAATATTGCATCCAGAATTTGAGAAGGATACAGCCCAAATTCCCAGCTTCAAGGTCAAAAGCACTCTGTTCAGCCTGGTTGTGATACAGTTACACTCTTTATGTAGCTAAGTAGACTGGAAGAAGTTCAAGCCAGCCAGTCAGGATGCCTTATTAAGCATTTTAATTTCAATGCTCCAATTTCATAACACTTTCTAACGACCACTTAAAACTGTATTAAACATTCCTCCATCAACGAATTGTCATTACATGCATGTGATAGAGGCCTCATGATCTGTGTCATATTCGATAACACTGACGGCACAGTCAGTTTCCCATATCGTTCTTTCAACTTTTCTCTTTTAAACAATACAAATTATGTTTATTTGTGCCACAAATGTTTTGTTGATAGTGACCATAACCTCCAAAAAGGCAAGTTTATGCATGTCCGGGGGGTGGCCGTGGCTCAGAGGTTAAAGCGGGTCGCCCAGTAGCCATAGAGTCCACTCTTCGCTTCGCGCTCTGTCCGAGTCATGTGTCATCGTGTCCTTAGGAAAGACACTTCACCCACTTTGCCTCCAGTGCCACTCACACTGGTGTATAGCTGGGTGTGAATGTTATGAACCTGGGTGGGTTGCAATAAAAAAACTAGTGAAACTATGCTTGAAATAAAAAAGTATTACTCAAAATGCTTGGCCAAGTTTACGTCACACTTGTCCTTTAACTACTACTCGTTAGGTAAGTTTAGCGTGAGCATGGTTATTTTTCTAAACTAGTCCACTTACATTGTTGTCTGATATCCTAGTAATGTGCCAGGAAATAACAACAACACATTAGACAGCAATCCTCCACGACAGACTTTGTTCCAGTTTGACTGTTATTTTGTCATTACTATCTGCTGTGTTTCTGCGTGAGTCACGTGACATGATTTCAACGAGAAAAGGTCAGTCAGTGCACCTCCCCTGACTTGCTTCACGGCATGTGTCGCGCGTATATATATTTGGCCCTCATGGCCCTCATGCCTGCTTGCACTGTGACTTTCTGTGTTGTGCAGTACGTGCTGTTGATGCACTGTAGCTGTGGAGTGCAACCAAGGCGACAAAGGTGGTTTTGTTCATTGTATGAGAATATGCTTCTCGGTCAACCAGATGTTTCCATGACAGGAAATAAAGTGAGGGTCATTTGACGGGCAGCCCAAGACAGACGTTATTGCATTGTTCACCTTTCACCTACTTTCTCAACACTCGAGCGTGTGACTCTGCAAGCTGCATTATATGCAGTCTTCAACATTTACTGGCCCGCATATACATGTACAACTTTATGTATCATTTACTCCAAATGCTTATAATGTGACAAACTGTATTTTCAGCGTTTTTACATCTTTTAACGCGTTGTAACAATCCGAACTCATCCCCAGTGTTGTTTTTTTGCTGCTCATAGGTATTCACAGAGTTTGTTGGAGCTAGTAGAATTTTTAGAGAAAGATCCAGACGATAAGGAAATCCTGACAGGGTAAGCCATTTATATCAAACACGCATATGCGCGCACACAGTCCACTTTGTTGCTATTGAACCGGTGCCATCATTTAAGTATAGTAATTGTTTTTATATTACACTGTAAAAATGTTTTATTATTTTGGCCGGGAATCAAATTTTGCACCTTGCGTGTTTGCTAAAGCCACTATCAAGTTTAAAGAAGGCGACCCAAATAACTGCAAAATTGAACTTCATCCCCATCAGAATTTTACGTCTTGGAACTATTGTTTGCTTTGGCTATCCACTTAAATTGGCCTATTTAGAATCATTTTCAATGCTGCATTTACACTTAAGCTTTATTCATGTTACCAAGGGGTCCACAGTTTAACACACAGAACCTTGATGTATTTGCAGAAAAAAAACAGGATGGACACCAAACACAAAAAATCAGCACCACATATAACAGCCTCCAAAATGACGATAGAAATTAACAAATCCATATTCTACAAATAGAGCTATGTTTGCAGTATTTACACTGCATTTTTATTTTAGCTGGCTAACTATTCATTTCTCAGCGTAGCTTCCATACTCATACAGTACTGTACATCCATCATGTTTTTGTTCTCAGCTTCACGCAAACCCTGATTAAAGTCCGCAATCGACACAACAACGTGGTGCCCACAATGGCTCAGGGCGTGGTGGAGTTCAAGGAGGCCTTTGGCGTGGATCCCGTGACCAACCTGAACGTGCAGTACTTTCTGGACCGCTTCTACATGAGTCGCATCTCCACGCGAATGCTCATGAACCAGCACAGTCAGTATAGCACTTGGTGATTATCAGTGAGTTCATCCTCACACTTGCCTTACATTCAGGTGCAATATTCACGTATCGGTTGGATTTTTGTAGCAGTAAAGCTCTCTACTGTATGATTAGAATTGTGCATGTGCATGAATATTTCGAAATGTTTTCTGCATTGTGTTATGTAGCATTAATCTTCGACGGCAGCGTGAACCCGGCACACCCCAAGCATATCGGGAGCATTGATCCAACTTGTGATGTTGTGGAGGTCGTAAAAGGTAATGAATGATGGTCCTCAGTTCTGTTTTCCGCACACTTACACTGAATGTGTCATCTGTTTTGCACGGTGCTTGGACAGACTATTTAATCACGTTTTTATAGTCGGCATAAAGGGCTGATTGTCAAAAGATGTTATCATTAGATTTATGGCTGGGATTTATTGGGTCTGTATGTGGGGTTAACCGGTTCACTTAAGGCTGGAAGCATAATAAATGCACCATCTACTTTCTATACATTGTCCCGCTATAATTTCCCCTTTCTCTCTTTGAAAAGTCAGTGATTTAATGGTTAAGACACTTCTTGTATTGTTCTCCACGTAAAGATGCCTATGAAACGTCCAAGATGCTGTGTGAGCAGTATTACCTCACCTCCCCAGATATGGAAGTCACACAAGTCAACTGTAAGTCTGAAAGAACCATTTGTTCCTTGCACTATTGAATTTAAAATATTTTGCTGCATTTAGTCATATTTGGCAATTGGCCACAGGTTTTAGGTAGGATTAAAATGGTTGACTTAAATTTCTTCTCTTTTTTTTTTTTTTTTTTTTTTTTAAATCATGAACGTTGCACAGCCAAAAGCCCAGACCAGCCCCTCCACATCGTTTATGTGCCATCGCATCTTTACCACATGCTATTTGAGCTCTTCAAGGTACAGTAAGCAACCAAAAGCAAAGCTTTTGGTTTTGCCACACCCGCTAACTGTCTTTATCATGTTCTCTGTCAGAATGCAATGCGAGCAACAGTCGAAACTCACGAGACGAGCCCAACCTTGCCTGCCATCAAAGTGCGCGTCTCACTGGGCACTGAGGACCTGACTATCAAGGTGAATGACTTAACGCGGTAGTTTCTCCCGCAGAACTCCTCTTTACACACCATCTTTATTCCCTATTTTTAGATGTCAGACAGAGGAGGTGGAGTCCCCCTGAGGAAGATTGAGCGGCTCTTCAGCTATATGTACTCCACAGCTCCTAGTCCCGTACATATAGACAACTCTCGTAACGCACCCCTGGTGAGACTTAAGTGCGCATTGCTTGTAAATTACGTTCTAAATGTATGCAAGTGCACCTGGCAAGATGTAACCACTGCAACTGCAAGTCCCCTTTTTAGGGCAAATTGATGACGATTTAACACTTCTTACAGAACTGGTTTGTTCCTCTAATGCTTTTATTCTTTCCTTAAACCCCTCGAAGGCTGGTTTTGGCTATGGGCTCCCAATCTCCCGTCTCTATGCCAAGTATTTCCAAGGAGACCTGCAGCTCTACTCTATGGAGGGCTACGGAACGTCAGCTGTCATTTACTTAAAGGTGATAACAGCACAAGTGATCCCCGATCCAAAATAACCATCCGCCGATCACGTACGCAGCTTTGACTGATGTCGGAAGAATGTAACACAAGACCCTTCGCAGCTGATAACGGATGTGCCCTTTTGTAAATGATGTGTTCTCACAAGACGGTAGTTGGAAATTGTGTGAAGGGTTAGGCATTATGTTACGTTAATGACGCAGCAGTATGAGTATCAACGTAGTGGTAACGAACAGATTCCATCAGTCTTAACACAGCTTTCACAAACTAGTAAAATAGCTAATATAGAAACTATGTGTAAACCCTTTTGGAGTGTTCCCATATAGCAAAGTGGTACCTCCAATGAAAGCAACACATTCAATCGTAGAGGCATAAGGGTCCTGACATGTTGGGCCCATTTCACAGGCGCTGTCCTCCGAGTCGGTGGAGAGGCTCCCCGTGTTCAACAAGTCCGCTCTGCGCCATTACCAGTCCAGCAGTGAGGCCGATGACTGGTGCATGCCCAGCAAGGATCCAAAGAAACTGGGCAGGAGCGAGAGGAATCACTGATGCCGGACTGAAGGAGGTAGTGGAGAAAATAATGGGGGAGGAGGAGTGGGAGAGAAAACAATTTGGCCAGTTCTGTTCAGATTATGACTTGAATTTTATTAGTTATCTAGACCACGACATTGCAGATTTTTTTTTAAAGTCCCAGTTTGCATTTGCTGCTCTCAATACTTTGTTAAAAGAACACATTTACCCGATAAACAAGCTGCGCTAGAGTTACAAATGATAGCTTTTAATTGGACAAAAATCCACAATGTTTCTGAACATTGTCTGCGGTAAAGGTCTTAGGTAGGTGTTTGAAAGTGAAACTTGCATCAGGTGATTTTGTTGGAACTGTGCATCTGTGCAAGCAGGTTTTATCAACGATACTATGTTAAAGGTGCTATTTGTAAAAGCCAATCACTTTTCTCTACTTTTAGTCACTATTTCAGCTGACCAGATCATAATTCTGTACATAACAACTGAAAAATGTGTTTTATTCGTGACAGTTTTATCTGTCAGTGACTTGGAAGTGAAACCTGCGTTCAGGCATAGAGTGCGTGAAGGGACCAACTACCTTGCTTTTTACATTTAGCATCTTAAACATACAGTATTGTATTAGAAGTTAAAATGGCTCACTTATTGCATGAGTACACAACTTGCACATTTCTTGCCTTAGATGGTCAAGAATGGTTGGTTTTATATCAAAGCAAACAGTTTTAATTCCAAAACATTTAACTCTCACAAAAAAAAAAAAAAAAACTAAATCAAAATAGCATATACTGTACTCATGTCACCTGATATTCCAACCACTTTACGATGACCTCTTTTTGAGGAGGTCATATGAATGTAACCACTAAAAAGCCGATTCCAAACAGACCCTCCTGCCTAAAGCATATTGCAGTGGTTCGGTCCACTTGGTGGATTTCAACCCTGCGCACCAACACACTCTTCAAACACCATTTTGGTGAATGACTGTTGACCGGCTCAGTTATTCACAACTGTGGCCAACTCATCAACAATCCGAAAGGGAACCTCTGTGCTATGATCATACCGTATATTTCTACTCTCAAAAAGGATTGTAGATCCTTTCAAGCCCAGTAAAGAACATAATACTACTGTAGTATTTCAGACATCTTTGAATGTAAAGTTGTGGTACCATGTTTTAGTATTTTAATCTCCTGAGTAAAATGGCATTTTTGGTCATAGAATACCAGCACATAAGGTGCCAGCTAGCCAAGATGTTTTTATTGCTGATTACAAAAAAAGGATTGAGCATGAAGATGCGAATGAATGTTAATTTCCATAAGGAAGGCCTCGATGCGCTTGTTTGAAATGAGTACTGTAATGTATGTGATGTCACCTGTTGCCAATGGAAGCGAAGGATCAACTTGTTTTTGCATGCACTCTTTCCTACTGTAGCAACAAGTGTGCCTTCTCATGACAAATGGCAAACGTGCTGATAAATATGTCATGTTAAATATTATATGCAGGCTGTAGTGATCTTAGACTTTGCTTCAATATCGTTACAGCGTCCCATTAAATGTACCAGTGAGCCTTTTCGCAAGGGTTTAGTAGGATTTCAAACAAAATGTGTAATTTCTACAAAACTGTCATGTTTGCTGGTGTTATGGTACTGCAGTTCATTTTTATAATGAATTTATGTCATAACAATGGCCAAAAAAAAATCATATTACCTCTATAACTGTCAGGCCAGGTTTTTAGCACATTTTGTGTCTGCCTTGTAACTTAACACTTTCTCCTACTAAATTCTTGTGAAAGCACACCGTTTATATCATATTTAACAATATTACGTGATTTAACAGTGTGGATATGTACTGTACATTTCATCTTCACCGGATGTCTGACATTTCTTATATTTCCATTTCAAGTGTTGGAGTTCACCAATAACCACAAAAACTGAAAGGAAGAAAAAGACGATACAAAAATGTGATGTCATTTGTTCCATGCGTAATTCTTTGTTTGTCCTTTTGGTAAATTTCACCTGCGTACCGGTTTCGAGAAACATGAAACTAAACGCAACTTGCCGTCGCAGTGTTGGCACTTTGGTTCCCTCCCGGCCTTCCACACTGTGTTGGAGAAGCTCCGTTTGACCCTACATGTCATGAACATCCTCGTCGCGTGCATCTCACACACTCGAAAAATGCATTCATGTTCCCCTCTCAATAGATATTGAATGTTCTCTGTTGAAACCATCTTGATATGTACCTGGATCAATACAGTACCCCCTCTGGTGTCAGTAATAAGTAGTTCTTAATACTTGACGGTAAAGGGAGCAATGCTGTTCCTCTTTCACGCGAGACCGCCATACTGCCTCTGATGGCACATCTGGTCAGGTGCAGCAAGCTGCGTGGGCTGTTAGTGCAAACAGCGAACAAGGAGTCGTAGAATTCTTTGTTTCGCTGAGATTCGACAGGACAAAACAGACTGACTTAAAAGACGGCAGCGGTTAAGAAACTAAGAAACTTGAGAGTTTGAATACTACCTTGTAGCAATCATCTGGAATGGCAGATCTCCACTTCCTTGTCGGCTTTAAATGTTCGTACGAGTTGACCATGATCTCGACAACTTTAGGGTAGTCATGGCAGGACTGCAACACCTGCGCAGGACAGGAGATACGGCGTAACCCAAGGAGGTCAGTTCCAGCTGGCAAAAATTCGCAGGATCGTGGGCGATGCACTGGAAAAACTTGATTTGCGCTCCAGCTTCACGTCACTTCGTCTCCCGTACCTTATGAAACTGGGGTGGGTAGATCCTGGCCGCGTTGTAGTTAAGCAGCAGCTGATAGCAGTTTTCGTGTAAGGCCGTGTGCCTTACGTCAGTAACTTTGAGGAGGTACTGGATGGGAGAGCAGCCGTTGATGTCCATGGCTCGTGCGTCCGCTCCGGCTTCCAGCAACATCTGCATCAGGATGTGATCGCAGTTCCAGGCAGCCTTGTGAAGAGCTGTTTTGTTATCCTCCTCTTGAAGGTTGACATCTTCAAAAGAGAATGCCCCAGTGAAACAAACGATCGTACTGTCTCAAGACGCAAATTCATTTATGAGAAGGACACTCAATGCAAACCCGCTTTGTGGTCCAACAGGATGCGACAGACAAGATGGTGATCTTGGCTATAGGTTTGCTCTTTCGTGTCAAAAGCCCAAAAGGCGGCGGTCATCAGGGGGGTCTCTTGCAAAGAGTTGACTAAATCCACAGGTGCTCCATGAGCCAAATAGAGTGCCGCCAATTCCGTGACCCCAAATCTGGCCGCAGTATGTAAAGGTGTGTCCTCCTCATTGTTGTGACTGGGTAGACTCACCTGCGCACCTGCGTGAGCACAAACAAGGAAAAGTATTTCGGATTCAAATACACAATTAGTCAATCTCCATCTATCTTAATTTGTCAAATTTACCTTTGACTATTTTAACAACGTGCCTACCTTTGAGGATGAGCAGCTTGGCGCAGGTCACGGATTCTTTGGTGATGCAGTAATGCAGTGGCGTGTGTCCACTCAGGGACAAGCTGTTGACCTTTGCACCGTGCGCTAAAAGCAGACCCACACAGTCGGCATTGGACACCTCGCAGGCCACGTGCAACGGCGTCTTCCCGTTGGGCATGCCGTTGACGGCCGCGCCTTCCTCGAGGAGCACCAGTGCGGTTTCCACAGCGTTGTACATCACACAAACATGAAGACCCATCGCCCAGGACTTCTCTAGTTTGTAGCCTGGCAGCCAATACCCTGTCACACATCGGAACTGATTAACCTCTTTCTTAGCTGAATAATCATCTTGGAGTGTGTTAATGAGCGACTGGTTTTAGGAAAGCACGTGCTGTTATTTATCTGTTTCTGGTAGTCTTGATTCCTGGAGCCTTATCGCCATCTAGTGAATAACTGACAGAACTCTTTGTGTGCTCCTCCACTATATCACGTTTCATTGATCGCGCACGCAATTATCACAGATTTTTCACCATATCTCATATTGTTTGACTTGCTTGCGTCATCTGAATTTATCTTCCCTTACCTTGTTTATAAGAGGCAAGGACCATGCTGGGGTCGTCCACTTCCAGAACGGTGTCAATGTCGAGTTTCTTGATGTGGAGGATCCAGAGGACCTCCTCGGCATTGTTAGTCTGCAAGGCATCCAGGTACCGTTGCTTTAGCTGCTTGACAGTTAGTTGTGTCGGGCTCAAGTTCTCCATGAACGCCTCTTGACAAGCGGGCCCTCGGCCTACATTCGCAACACCAGCTGGCTTAGGCAAAAACGCTCTCCTCACAGCATGGAGTAGATTGTAAAAGAATGTGCACATTCAAAGGAAAGATTCATGCCTACCCACAGTGGAAGGCCTTCAACGTCCTTATTTGGGGCTGCATGACAAAAAAACAACTAAAGCAACAAGTGACGGGAGGAAAATGGCAATAGAGTGAATTATAAATAGATGCAGCAGTGGGAGGGACTTCAGAACTTGAGCTCTGTATCTCTGAATCTGGGTTAGTGAGTCTGCTGTCACAGGGTCGTGGTTTTTGTCAAGCTGCAATAACTCCCAACCTTGTTTCTTTTTAAATCATCAAAAGAGACTGCGTTATTTATTGTCACCCCCAGTTCAAATTTACTGTCAAACTAAACATAAAACTAAGAGAATTACATGAGGTGTATTTAAAACAATCACGTAGCTTAGCATGAAGTCTAATTAGCTTCATGCTCACAAACAATGTAATGAATAGCAGTGGTAATCTGATATTATATTCCTTAACCAGTCGTGTCAAACTCATTTTTGACGTGGGCCACTTTGGAGTTAACGTCTTACTTCGGAGGGCGGTTATGACAGTGAAACCACAAAAATGTTTAATCGTCTCATTGCATTATTACTTGTACACAACAAATTAATGGATTATTCTTTTTGAAACAAGTCAAGCCAACTATCATAGTTGGTTCGATTATTGCTCAAGTGAGTGTGAATAGGGGAACAAAAATCTGACTGTTATTTATTGCACATGACAATATGACATTTCGGTACAGATTTTAGCAAGGATCATGGAAGTTGACACACATGATTTGCTTTCACGAGCCACATAAAATGACTTGGCAGGCCGTATCTGGCCCCCGGGCCTTGAGTTTGACACCTGTGTCCTAAGCAATGGATCTTTGGAAATGGTACATCAGCACATTTAAACAGACAATATAACACTATTCACAGGTGTCTATTCTTTATCCTCTGCAAAGAACGAATTAATATTACAGCAACTTCCTGCACAAGATCGCTGTCTATTTTCATCGTCCAGTCTTATGACAGGCTGGACCAGATTAATGGTATTTTAATTCATTTCGATGGGCAGATGATTTGATTTGCATTCATATTGCAGGGAACAAATTAGACTCGCATCTCAAGTTAACGCTGTTATGATCTTAATTACCCAAATTGCTATGCAAAAGTGCAAAATGTTGTGCAGGATGAAAGCAAACACGCATCAGTGACAGTACGTTTTATTGAGTGCGACAGGGATTCGAGCTGCCCTTTCAAATTTTTCATTATGCAAAAAAAGTAGATTAAAATAAGGGTGAGGACTGAGGGTGGGGGGGGGGTCTGAGAGGAACAATAGCACATTGTGGCAATGATCTGAAAGACAAATGAGCCCTTGTGGACACAACTCGGACTGTTTATTTTGGCCTGCTGGGAGCACCAGTGTCACATCTATGCATTGTATTCATCACACCAGGTAAGAGAAGTTGCTTCAGCACACTGCACCGTCTCACAGTGAATGAAACAAAAAATTAGGATATAAATATGAAAAGATTGTGGCAGCATATGGATGGATGAGAGGAAACTAAACAAGTGCAATGAGACGCTTTGTTAAAGACCCCGCCTTTGAGCACATTGCAATTCAGTTTGAATCAATAAATCAAATCATTTATGCGGAAAGGAATCAATAAACATACAATTCTAGATCAATCATTATTGGCTCATTGTAATTTCCTTACGTGATCAGTTGACTTTAGTTCATATACACAGACATAAGAAACAAGAATGTGGACATTGATCATGGTGACAACAGTCTATATTTGTAAACCTATAGAACTGTTCACAGTAATGACAGGGAAGTAACACTTTTCATATATTCATTGCATGTCCTTTCCAGTCTAACATCAAAGTATAAATTGTGAATTTGAACCCCGTCTGTGCACAGACGTGAACCATTTATATGATATGGCTGCCTTCCTTCCTCAGTATCATTTTTCATCTCATATTTTTTTTTCTTCTTATTGCAGGGAAAAAAAAAGTGTCTCGCGAGTTATTTCAGGAAAATTCTCTAAACTTTCTAAAGGCAGCTGTTGGATATTAGTTATTTAAAAGGAATACAAAAAGGAGGTCAAAGCGGGTGACAAGCAACAGTATACTGTATATATCAGCAGGAAGTTCAGTTAATTTTTTTTTCTTTTTTTTGTAGAATAGGTTTGGTCATTTACATTTGCCAGCGGTCTCCATTAGAAGCAGTCATAAAGTACATCCACTTTTGAGACCTGCTTCACAGTATTGGATAGCAGTGCATTTATACCGCAAGGAACATTGCACACGCCAGTGCAAAAGTTTACAGCGTTTGCACTTCCAGTGGTCTGGCAAGTTGAGACATATAGTAGAAAAGTTCCAGTGTTTTCCTTCAACAGCAAAACTAAGCAGCGTGGTGACACCTAGTGGTCACTATGAGTATTGCCCCCTATTGTAAAGGTTCCAGTGATCGATGAGTGTATAAATATGAGTCTATTAAAATGGCACATCAGACACATTTGTATCAGTATCCACTGTACAGGCTGATATATGGAAAGGTCCTGAAATTTGAAAAGCCTCGATTATTTATTTATTTTTTTTAATATATTTGATATCCAACTTAATGTCCATGTACTAGGATGCTCTTTGTCCTCAGCAGTAAAACAGCTTTGGCAAACTAGTAGGAAAATTGTATATTCGTAGTGAGGCAAATTTGTGCCCTAGTTGACAACTGTGCGCCACTAGTATTGGTATTATAACAGTCGACTAATTAACATCCAGTGCCTTGCTACTAATACTTGTGATGCTCAGATGTCTCCTCGTGCACAGTATTGCCTCACTAGTAACAATGTAATTGTACTAGAAAAAAGGAAATAGAGCAAACTCATACAGGAACCTTAATTTGGGGATGGACAGTAAATAAATGCTGCAGTTTGACCATTTAGGAGGCTAATAATGTGACACATGCCTACTAGTATTAGTTACGAGTACACCTCAGTAGTTTATTAGTAAGGTTTAATTGCATAATAATGGTGGCACTTGTAGTGCAAAGAACTTGTCTTTGTCCTATTGTGCTCTTGTAGTCCACAAGTGCACTGAATTCTTACTAGTGAGAACAAAAAGCACACTAGTATGTGGACCTTAAGATAGATGCTACTTGTACGTGCCGCATCCCTACTCATTAGGCCGAGGAGTGTAACTAGTGTCGTACCATAGTTTTTTTGAGAGGTTCATTTGCAAGCTACTAGTAAGCCAAAAGTGACACTCGTACTGGAAAAATGCTAGTGAGACACAGTCACTGTACTAGAGCGCATTACGCATTCTAAATGTAATCTTACAAGTGAGGATAAAGAGCAGACTAGTACACAGCTCTTAGGCTGGATAGCAATTGAATAAATGCTGAAAACATGTTTCCATACCGAAAAAGGGGTAGCACAGTTAGCTCTGGAGAGGATGTAGGATAAATATGCATTGACTATGTCACAGATTTACCCTGGAGATGAATAAATAAACCCAATTTACAGCAACAAACATGAAAAATAAATAGAAAACAAATTTTCAAATGCCTAACAACACAGGATCGGTGTAAAATGAGGCAAAATGAAAGGGCAGAATCCTGTAACCTGACTGTTTGTTTTGGTTTAACTTGCTTGGTGATGGAAAACATTCCCCAAAACAGTAGACTTGGAGCTCAAACCACACCCTGTACGAATGGCATCCTGCAAGGTTCAATCTTAGAGCCTTTGCAATTTGTCTTTGCGGGAACCCAAAATTCAAAGAGTCACACGGGATCAGGTCACTTGGGCCGCGCTTTATCACGCTTCTTTCTGCTGTTGCTCCATCTCTCTCTTTCTGAGCTTCTCGCGCTGTTTCTCCACTTTCTCATGGTTCCTCTTGGCCTTCTCCATCAGAACTTTAAGGTCTTTAATCTTTTTCTTGATCAAGGATCGATCCTGGGAAGAAGTTACTCCAAGGGACTGAAATCAGGAGAATATGAAAGAACATCTGACACAGATAAATCTGGGCATTCAACAATGAGGTTTACCTTGAGCTCGGCGCTATCCAGTTGCAGAAGTTTTTCTCCATTTATGTTTTTGGCAGTGAATTCTGGAATATGTTGGTCTAAACTGAGGCCCATAAGCCAGCCGACCACTTGCTGAGAGCTCCATTCTGCCACGCCGCGATTCTGCCACTGATGCTGCTTCTTAATCCACCCTTCTTCTAAGATCTGGTGACCAAAAGTCCAACAGACGCTCAGCAACATGATTACAAAGAATTTTGGGTCTTTCTCTCTGCATTTGATCATGATTTGGAGACTAAATTTGTAAGTAGACAAGGTAAACAGTTCCAGTTGCCAGTCTCACCTCATCATCTACCATATCCAGACTCTGCATTTGGCAGCACAGGAAACAAACCAAAAGAGGAGGGTGTGTAAACAATGCAAAAGACAACGGCAGCACCTTAAATTCGGTTCTGGATGATTTTTTTCGTGAATTCGGGGCGCATATTTTGAAAGAAAGCCCGTGTGCAGTAATTTCGAAGTGATTATACCTCATCAGATGAAAGCGCCAAGTTATCGGCGTGTCCTGATGTTTTGGCTTCGCCGGCCAGCCCGCTGATCTCCACGGAGCTGCTGCTGCTGGCACTCAGGTCCTCACTCAAAGCGGGCCCCTGACAAACCAGAGACAGAATTATCAAGTCACAATGGAATCCAGTTGTGAGCAGTGGGGGGCTGAATGGGCTCAATTGGACGATAGGCCTCTATTCTCTTGGCCTTTCCTTGGAATGTTATTGATTAGTATGTGCAGCTTGCAAATATAATGGAGGCTCTCAGCTGTTCACTGCATGTTTGAAACACATGGAGGCTGGATGAGAAGTCCGATCCGGGACTTTGCCCGCTGATTATGGCTCTCGTTGATTGGTCGATTAATTAAAAGTAAAGTGAAGATAAAGTGATTGTAAGACTGCAAGGAAGCAGAATTATGTGTCGAACATTTTTAACCGGGATTGAAGGGAAGCATAGTTAAATTTGTGAATTCGAAATAACAACAGCAATCAGCCAAAGTACTTGTTAATTTTCATCTGTTGTATATTCAGTTATAATCACCTTTTGAATCATCAAATATGCAAAATATTACAGTGATACCGTACCAGGTAATATGAATAAGAGAAGAAGTGTGGTAATGTAATACGGGTCTGTTCAACACAAAAAAACAAGCATTATTTTTGTAGAAATGTATAACACTCCGTGTAATATATCACCAACCACATTTGGTGGTGATATATTACCACCAAATGTGGTAATTTATCACTACACAAATTTGTAACATTCAAAAGAAGAACTGGGACTATATACAAAATAATCTTCAGTTTTGACGAACCGTATTTAATTTTTTTTTTTTATGCATTCAATATGATTAGATTATGCAGGTGCACCAAATGAAGTGGCAAAGGATTACATATAATTTCACAAAAAGGCATGCGTGACTGTTGAACATGTACTGCATATTCATCCAGAGAGCCACACTTCATAATTACTCCATAATGTCTGTTACAAAATGTACTTTGTATTATGAGTCCAACGTAATGTCTACAATATATGCAAGTCATTCATTTGTCCAGTGTCTGCAAACCTCGTGAAATTTTGGCTTGGCTTTCCGAGGGCTGTCCTCTACCAATTGCTCCGTGCAACTGAAAGAGAGTGGAGAGGCATGTTGCTTGACTATTATTGTACCACAACTTCATAAAAACACTGCACCTCATTTGGTCTTTGACCAACATTGGAGAAGTTAATGCCCCCCCCCCCCGCACCCCCCACAACAATGTCACTCGTCTGTATCTTACCCAGACTCAGGGGCTCGTCTCTGTTCCTCCACTTGTCGAGAGGGGCTCGATGTTGCAAGAGAACCTGCCAGAAAGATGGCAGGTTCGGGTGAAGGCCCTGGTACCAAACGCGCTGCCCCGCCACTGCTTTACAACGCTAAGGGAGCACTTTTATTGATCTAATCTGTGGGGTGTCGTCTGTCATAGGCGTTCAAACCTTCGTTTATTCGTCTGGGGGATCCCTCTGCACTGGCTGGACCCTTGGGAACCAGATCATAAGAGGCCACACTACGAATGGAGCCGGAGCGACTATGTCCTGGGCTGCTGCGCCCCTCTGAGACCTGAGGGATGGACAAGAAGAGGTAAGATGGAGAGTCGTATTTCGAGATATAGAGAAAGCAAAGGAAAAACATAAAAGACAGAAAAACGTGTCGTAATGTTGATGGGAGACTGAGCCATACTGATTCCGTGTTTCCCATTTCGAACTCTTTTTGATTTGGAAGCCTCACACTGCCTTGTTTTGATCTCCCTGTCAATTGGGATTCTCAAGTTGTTTACCCAACGTGAACTACTCAACTCAAGCCGTGTTGAAAATGACAAGATGCTATCCATCCACAAACATCCATCACATTCAGCGAGCGGAGACAAACGGCGACAGCGCCATATACTCAATTAGTGCTGCTGAGCAACACGCAGCAATTAATCCATTAACTAAATGGAATGGACAGAGTTCAGACACTCACAGGTACTCTAATTAAATGAAAATGCGTGGACCTTTATGGCATATCTCGGTTGGTGATCATGGTTGCTTTCATGACAATGACTCAAGAGACGTATGATGGAGTAACTGTTGTCGAGAAAGTGTGTGTTTGTTAAATGACAAACCTCTCCCTCTGTGGAGCTGATGCTGTCTGCTCTGGAGCCTTTCGCTTTGCTGGGTGAGTAGGGGGAGCCCTTCCTCAGTTCTGCACAAAATCAGCAGCATCAAATCAATGGTACCAAATGAGTTGCAGGGAGTATACACAAAAAGTGTCTGACTCTTGTTGCTGTGTTTGGGGAAAAGTATTAGTCGTGTCAAATTGCAAGGCTGACGTTTGTAGTGGTGTAGAATTGCATTTTTGCAATTTCTACTATTTCATCTCTTTTATTACTGTTTAGAAAGGCAGAATCTTTCGTTCCGAATGACTATCTCTGATCATCATTCTTTTTAGTATGTGCATCTTTTGTGTTCGACCAATTCTCCATTCAATTGGTTTAAACGCGGGAAATTATTTTGCTGTCATTCTAGCCTATTAGTCCACTTTCTTTCAAAAAAAGTTCTGCCAAACCGTTAATGCGTTAATTAGGCAATCATAATTTACTGAGATTACTCGGAGAGCCTGTCACATTGCACGAAACTATTCAAATTTGGAAGCGATCTGATCTGCACATGTCTCTCTTCTCCTCCCACATGTTCCCATTTCTCGCACGTCCCAGCTGTCTCCTTTTGCCGCCTCGGTTTTAATGTTGCGTAATGGGCTGCGTCATTCAGATCAGCACACATCCAGTCTCACCGCTACCCTGTCGGCACTGGTCACACATGTCACGCGTTCCGACACCGTCGCCGGGGAAATAAAGCCTGCTTAGCTCAAGAGGAGAGCAGGAAGCAGATATCAAGGCTTCAAGTTTGTTGTTCAGACTGCGCATAAGTGGACATAATCTGTGACTTGATCCATGAAAGCGGTGATTCTCAAAGTGTGGTACATAAAGGCTCAGGGAAATAAATGTTGAAGCTGTGCATCTTGTTATTACAGTGACTGACTTTTTTTTTTTATGCAGTAGAGTACATCTGTTAGGTACAGTTGAATTGTATTTAACATTTAAGTGGAATATAATGGGGACAATTCAACCCAGCCGCTGGGGGGCAGTGCCCTCCCCTGGGGGTGCACTGTTCCCCAGTGCCGGTCCCAAGCCCGGAGAAATGGGGAGGGTTGCGTCAGGAATGGCATCCGGCGTAAAACTTTTGCCAAGACGACCATGCGAGTTGGTAGGACGGTTTACAGGGGCGGATGGAAATTACTGACTCGCTGTGGCGACCCCTGAATAGGGACGTGCCGAAAGGAGAAGAAGAAGAAGAAGAATAATGGGGACAATTCATTCTTAGTTAAATCATTATTAAAGTATTTGTTCGTTTTTTTCACCGGGGGTAAAAAGTTTGCGAACCACTGTATTAAGGTCTAAGTACAGGGATGCACTGACCTCGACCTTGTGCCGCAGCTCCGGTGGGGCTGTGCGGCAGAGCATGCAGACTCTCCGCGCTGTTGCTGTTGTTGTTGTTGACCTGAATGTTGTTCTGCTTCATCAACTGCATCAGCTCCGACTCTAGTGTTGCAATCTGTTCAGAGGAGGAAGCAGGATCAATGTTAATCAACTGTGAGTATGTTGCTCTCAGAACAAAAGGCGTTCCACATGACAGGCGCTCGGGGAAACGAAATAATAGCCCCAATTTCTCTTTGCAGCTACGAAAGCTTCCGACTTTTGGGAAGATATTTTGTTTTAATTCATCCCAAAGCTGTTCCATGGGTTCGAGGTTACGGTTCTTCCATATTAAATTCATCCAGCCTGTATGGGCGTGGGGCCGCACTGGGAAACTATTATATTGATCACGAATTAAAATATCTGTATATGCACTACTAATGTGTACAGTAACAGACTGACTATACAGTTTCATGATGTAAAGTTTTGCCCTCACCTTTGCTTGTGCAATTTTAATGATGTGCATCCGAATAACGGTAGTAGTGCACATTTGGCCGCATCGGCGATCCAGTTGAGCAGACACTAACGCTTATGTCGTGTCATATTGCGGGCAAAGCAAAAAATAAATAACAAAATCAACTTGACGTTTGACCACAGGCCACGGGGACACCCGAGCCATCCGCTGTCAGTGTGAACTGAGGGGACAGCCTTGCAGAAATAAAGCATCCATGTGGAATAAGCTTTCTAGCGGCCATGCAAACTGTTGAATTGAAATGCACTGTAAAGACAATCTTCAGAGATTTCAGTGCGCCCTTTGGAGACCGCTTAGCGGAATTTTACAGACATATTTAGAACAACCGCATGAAGAGTCATACATCAACGTGGAATATGGTCTTTTACCCTGACTTGCAGTCCCTGGATCTCCGCCAGGTGAGCTTTCTCAGCCTCCTCCAGTCGTCGCCTTTCAGCATCCTCCTTCTGGATGAACTCCACCTCCCTGGAGGAGGAGATTGAAAAAGGTTGAGCGGGGGAGCAAGCCAATTTGAGCTAAACTCCCTCCACTAAGGCTATAATTTGGATCAGCACCAATGTATACACCTTCAAAGAATATTTGTTCAAATATTTTTTTTTTAACCTAAATCTATGCGTGAAAGTGCTCTGTCTGGAAAAAAAAAGGTGGGCTCAGTGTGAATCCCTTCGTAGAACACAATGTTCCACTGTTTGTAAATGTACACGTCTCTCCTACGCAGACATCTTTGCTACGGAGCAGTTTGTCTCTCATGTCAGCTTCACTTTAGCCTGCGGGGCAGGAGCCAATTAGAGGCAGTCCGATTGCAGCCGAGCGGCCGAGGTTGTGATGAGCCTCGCACAAAGAAAGACAAGTTGTGCCGCAAGGGAGTGGAAAGCCTGCTCTCTGTGCTGAAATGGGATAAGATCTTGCGGATTAAAAAAACAAAAACGTAACGCTGCCTGACAGATGGGAGTGTAGGAGATTCACATTCTCTGATTGATGATGCAAGCGAAGATTATGGGAAAATGAATTCATCAGACATTATTCATCCAACTACACTAAGTGTCAAGATGGGAGCAATGGCCTCATTTTGAAATGTGATGTGGAGGAGTCATAATACATGCGTAGGTGTAAATGTGAGTGTCGGAGCAATTATATTAGTGCGCCATAAACTTGGCTGCATTAAGAACACCTGCATGATCTAAAAATATCGAGTCGTTTGGAAAAATTCATCACCCGTTTTGCAACCCATTCTTGGTATTTGAAAGCCGCTGTGAGGTGCACGGTACACTTCAAAGTCAGTTTGGGCAGGCCCCACCTCACCCGCGACCCTCATGAGCGAAGCGCTGTACTAAATGGATGAATGGATTTCATTCTGCCATCTTAGATGATTCTTAAAATGGAGCCAAAATGATGATTGACAGTGAAGCGCGATCGTCTGGGTGCCATCGGGTGTGGCTTACTTTTGTTGGAAGTCTTTGATGAGTTTCTTGGCTTTGTTGTATTTCTTCTCCAAAGTCTGATACTGCGCCTGGGCCTCTTTGAGGTGTTCGTTAACCGTGTGGCACAGCGTCTGCGCCTCGATCCAGTAGCTCTCCAGCTTCAGCATCCTTTCCTTGTTCTCCTCGATGCTGGCCTTCAGCTGGCTCTTTTCCTTCTCCCACCGCTGCTTCTCCCTCTCCACGGAGGCCAACTGCGAATTCAAAAGACGAGACAAGAATTACACTCTTGACTCACAACAGGGATTAGACGAGACGTAATCACAATAATGCATCATTAATATCACATTAAAATGCTCTATTGATTAACACTGCGGGAGAGCTAACTTACATAACAGCCGTATCCAAAATGTGTTTTTTTTTTTCTGCGTCTGTTTGTGATAAAAGAAAACTGCGACATACAGAAGACATAGATACTTTCTGCATAAATGTCTCGTTATTTTAAACTTAGCCGGAAAGCTCGCATGCTTTTCAAGAACTTGTCATCACTCGCCAACATTCACGACAAGTCCCACCGACAGTGCTTTTGACTTACCTTGTTTTTAAGCTTCTGGATCTCGGCCTCAGTCACCGTGTGTTTGATCTGGAGCTGTTGGAAAAAAGAGAGGACAGGAGAAGGGAGAAAGGGAAGAGAGCGAGCGTGAGGACGGTCAGATCATCAAACGCATGGCTGCGCAAGCTCGATACAGTGTGACGGACCGAGGCGGATGACCCGGTCCGATTGCAGCACCAGTGATGATGACGTGCTCGCTAAGGCCCAAAAAAAAAAAAAAAAAAGGTTCATGAGGGGGAAAAAAAAGTTGACCTTCCACACCACTATATTCGTGAGTTCAAAGCACAAATATGTGAAGACAAGATGAACTTTTTGTGCGTGTTGAATTATGCAAAACATGCAAGTGGCAGAATGTTTCCAAAAAAACGTCCGCGTAATCCCAAAGAAACATATCATAAAGTGGGATTATTCCATACACATCTCCGCAAAGATCTGTAGTACACGTTTGCTATTTGAGCTCATCCTGTCCTGATTAACATATAAAACTCGGCAGCAAGTCGGAGCAATTGCCATCTTTCTGGGTCAGTGAAACTTGAAACTGGCAAGTGTGAATGCATTTGCACAAACGGGAGCAAAATACCGCATAATCAAATACGTAGCACGGCAAGTATCATCTGCTGAATTTTCTACGAGTCAGAGACAGTGGAATATAAACAATACTTTGTGGAGAGCTCTTTATTTTTATTTATCTATTTATTTATTTTAAATGGTTGTCACAATGCACCGGGTAAAAATTACCTCTCTGAACTTCTGGAACAGTTTAGTGGCATCCAAATCCGACGGCGACAAGACGTCGTCGTTCTCGGGCAGGTCGAACACTTCGATGTTCTTCCCCTCGCTTGGCGCGGCAGGCGCCGCCTCCTCGTCGTCTGTGGCGTACTCGCCTGTCTGCTTGAAGACCAGAAAGTGCCATGTCAGTCACAGATAAGCGTCTCGATTTTGGCCGAATTTGTCTTGCAGAACTGTCCACCTTGTACGGGTCAATCTCAATCAATTAGACTATTGCACAAAACTTCAGTTATTTCAGTAGGGGAATTGAAAAAGTGAAACTTTTTCATTGTAGAGATTCATTAAACACATCGGAAAAGGAAAACTCTGGCAATTTGTACATTACGTCTATTTCTGAGTATATCCTTTTCTTGTTCGGGTTACACGTGTCGGAGCCGCGTGTCAAAGTTCTCCCAAAATTTGCTTTTCATCTCTCCCCGACATTCTCTATTCATTTGCGACTTTGCATAAGTAATGCAACTCTTAATGCGAGCATCATGTAAAATCTAGATAACCTACTTAAGGTTCCCCAAATCTTGTCGGATATGAATTGCGCTGACAGCTCGGTCATCTGTAACATATTTCCTCCACGTCTTGAGAGGCGTCATATCCATTTGTCTTTCAATCTGAGCACATCGATCAAATAATCCATTTGGCCCGTGACCAACCCTGCCTCGTATGTCCAGTGACGTTACTCGGTAAAATATCTCTGGTGCCTTTGTAGCATCACACAATCAATCCATTTCAAATAATAATTAAAAAAAAAAAAAAAGCCGATGCAAAGACAAGACGTTTGCTGTGGCTTAATTTAGCTTCGTGCGGGGGGGGGTGATATTAGGCATTATTATCTTTCAAACAACTTATATAAGATGATTGTGTGACATGTAAATAATGAAGTGTTGACACTGTTTCTACCTCCCACCCACCCGTGTATTTTAACTCCTACACTTGAACCATTTTTACCTCTCTAAATTAGGTCATCGCTTCCATCCTAAAACGCAATGTATTATGACATCTAAAATGATTTTTTTTTTTTTTAAGCAAATTATGTATCCCAGTCGGATATGCAGGTGTCGCTCAGATAACAGGCTTGAGTCTCGTTTCCTCGAATAGGCCCGTCTGTTGCCATGGTTGCAGCCTCCTATATTAAGGTCCCATTGAGTGAAGGAGCAACACAATACATTGAAGGGCAGTTCCACATTAGAGTGTGCTCTCATGAACATAGCAGGCACCTCAAGTAGACCGAATGGCGGCTGTACCATTTTAGATTCCGAGGGGATGCTTGGCCCCTTGACTCTTTCAACAACAACAAAAAATGCACGCGTGTGCGTGTGTGTGTGTGTGTGTCTGTGTGTGTGTCTGTGTGTTCCTATTTAATTGACAGATGGCCAAGCTTGAGGGTTTGATGACAAATAATTCCACGCAAAAGTATGCGCGTGTCACCATTTCCCTTGGGATCAGATGTCAATAAAGAGCCGTCAGTCACATTAGGATACGGAGCCTTTATCCCAGCCCACCCGGGGAGAGAATTGCTGGAAAATTTATAGCCGTATTAATATTGATGAGTTCTACTTATTGCCCCTTAGATCTTGATAATGGTTTTGTTACGGTTTAATCCGCCAAAGCTTGGAATGAACGCAGAGTGTTTTCGGAAGCAGTTTGCAATCTTTATATGGACTATCGGTGGATGTTTGGTGGAAGACTTTTCTTATTTTTTATTTTTATGAACCTAACTCAAAGAGGTTATAGTTTCGCTGCGTTTGTTTGTGAGCATACTTGTACAAAAAAAAAAAAAGACAGATTACCTTCACCAGACACGAAAGCCATATTGGTATTGTTTTGATCGTGGTATGTTGGTTTGTTAATTCACACAAGTCCAAGCCTCCATGTTTTAATTCTTAGCGGTTGACTTTTGCTGTTGCTTGAGTCAAGATGGAAGTGGCTTCCCTTCTCCAGAAAAAAAAATAAATGGTGCTGTCTCTTTGTGCTGTTATCCGTGTTGTGAGACATTGCAGGGGGGGGATAAGAAAAGCTGGTTCCTTGCATGTCTCAAAGTGACTCGACTGTACATGGCGTCCCACGCTTGCGGTGCCAATTCTCTACAGGACTTTAATTAGAACGGGCACTGTTTCATGCGTGTGTATGTGCGTGTGCGCGCGCTCGGGATTATGACAGCACTTGGGATCAGCTTCCATGGCCCGGAGAACAGTTTCTTATGCATGACAACTCCCACTGAACCGTCCGCCATGCGACGGGAGACGTGATGAAGACAAAAGATGCGTGATGAGCGCGAGCCTACGGTGTCGTTAGCGGTCAGCCGCAAAGTATTGATTCTTTTAGATCACGTGTCAAACTAACAGCCCGAGGGCCAGATCTGGTCCGCCGTGTCAATTTTTGTGACCACGATAGCAAATCAAGTTTCGCGGCTAAGTGGATTTGTTCTTTTCAATTTGGCATGAAATTGGCGGCCACATTTTTTGTAATGCATTTTTTTCTTCATTTTTAAGAAATGCTGAGCGATGCTGTCGGGTGGAGGTGTGTTAAAGCTGCATTTTCTCACTCCATTCTATCACACAAGAAGCGAGGTTGCAGACGAGTAATACATACTGAACCTTTTTAAATACGATTGCAGAATTTTAGTGAAGTAGGTGGCTATTTACAACCACCACCTCCTCTATAGCGAGTGACGCCCACCCTCCTGTCAAGACACTGAATTATACCGATGGTGGTCATTACCTCATCATCATCAGCGTCATACTGGGCGTACTGCTGCTCCAGTAGCTCTCGCTGTCTCTTCTCCTGCTCCAGGGTCTGCTGGATGAGCGTGGCCACCTCGCTCTGCTGGCCCGGTTGCTCTCGGCCAATGACAAATCTGCATTTGGAGACAGTCAGACGGCCTTTCACAGAGTGGAAATTAAATGCATGCCGCCTGCGTGGAAGGCAGGTCAATGAACCACCACACCCCGATGGCGCCTCATTCTCATCGAGAAATTGTGGGAACTATAACATAGACATTAATGTAGCGGTTTCTTCTCCTGCGCTGTCTGTGTGCAGATTTCAATGTCCACGGCTTTCAAAGTGTGATGAGAACTACTTGAAATACACACGAATCCCGTTAAAGAAAGGTAAGCATTGCCTTTACTCAGGTTTTTATATTTTGATTTTATCCCCCTATGTTAAACAAGCGCATACACTATGTGTAGCGTGCCATTAGGCCCGATGGCTGTTCATTATCATCTAACAACCTGTCTCCAGGAACTCAAAATAGTGTCACTCGAAGATGGACTGTGAGTTGTATGAGCAACGTGTTCCAGTGACCTATCTTTGTTAAACTGAGCTGGAAAGCTTTCTAGTATGAAGGCAATGCAGACAGGGCCTTACGCTCCAGCAGAGGCGCCTTTTATTATTTGATCGACGTGTGAAGCAACAACTGGGGTGAGCAAAAAAAAAAAAAAAAAAAAAGGAGAAAAAAAACGTTTTGGCAGCATGGAGGTCTTTAACCTCATTTAGCGGACGTCCCCATATTATTTCCACCCTAGTGTGGGGTTTCAGATAATGAAACTCCTTTACGGTGACTTCATGTGAACGTGACTTCGTTTTGAGACCTGCATGATATAAAAGATTAAATACAGATAAAATGTCTGATGTAGGACAGCTGGCCGTAAAACCTCAGCAAGGGAAGGATTTTTACCAAGGAGGGAGAGGTGCACTAAGTGGGTGGTGACATGATGGAGGAGGATGGAAAAAGAAAGAGTGACCGAATGAGGAGAGTGAAAAGAGGACGAGTGATACCAAAAGAAATACACTGAGTGGGAATATGCAGTAGTCATTTTCATTTATGTACTCGGTTTGGGTAAATGCGGTGTTCAAAGTCTTTCTGTGCAAACGAGCAACACCACAGCGAGGCATAGTTTAAGTGGACCCACTTGTGCTATAAAGCAATACAACATGTTTTTTTAAAAAGTGGCACAGTCATTTTCCAAGATTACAATTGAACCTGAAAAGGTTTGGGGGACATTTTCTGATCCAAATTGCACTGTTGTCATGTCCATTCATTTTTTTTTTTGCATCATTTTGTCACCTCACAACTGACAGAATCGATATATGGCATCGGTTCTGTATTTGCGGTTTTCCTGGTTTTAATGGCCGTTCGCAATTTTAATACGGTAGAAAACGGCAGCAACAAAAAAATTAAAAAACACAGCAAATGGGACATTAAGAAATGATGAATGGAACACATTATTTCAGGCCGTCACAATTAAGTGGCCTATTTGTACACGGTCATTCTAAGGTAAAACGATTACAACATAGCCGGTTACCAAATAAATAAATAACAATGCATTGTTTTGCTTGTATGAAATGAAATGTCCATGTAAAAAAAAAAAAAAAATGGACCGTGAATTTCAAAACCGTTAAAATTCCAAGATGACTTTTAAAGTGGCTGAAGCTGGGTGACCGTCACACTTGCCACTGATATGATCTTATTCGCTCCATCGCCGACTTTTTTTTCTTTCTTTTGACAGGGAGTGCGTCTTACCGTACAACTCCCGATGTGTTCCTGAGGACAGAGGCCGCAAAACTCTGTGTGACACCCACCAGGCTGGTCCCGTCCACCTCCACAATCTGGTCGTTCACCTTGATCCTAATACGCACACAGACACACAATCACAAAATTGAGGACATCATTTAACACTTGAGGGTGAGAGAATGAATGTCATTCATTGTCTTAACGTGAATTGAAGTGGCTCGTAGAAAATGACCGTCTCGGAAAATAAATTGTCCAAATTACGCGGTGGTGCGAGAGCATGAGAAGTGGATGAGACATCAGCTTGGCCAATCGCGCGCATTATTTTCCAAGATTGGAAAAGATTGTCTTAAACACGAACTCGTTGCTTGTGTGTCAGTCACCCGCTCAGACTTCAGCTTCTATGTGACCCACAGCATCTGACATCTTAATCTGGCTTTGTGGCTCCATTTTGGCCCAACGGGAACATTGCCGAGCCGAGAGGGAATTAGGGAAAAGATGAAGTGGCGACGAAGGAACGCGGTACTGTATCTCCGTGGGTCATCAAAACCGCACATAACAGTGAGCATCAGTCTAGTCCATCGATCTGTCTGCCTGCCATTGTGTGCCTCGGACCATTAAACCTGACTCAGCAAAAGGCCGACGCGCATGCACGGAACCAAGTTGATGGAGAGGTAATAACCGAAGGATATGATGTGCGAGCATGCATGTGGAATAACAACATTGCAGCAACAAAAAAAGCTTTTACAGAAGTTACGTCTAGTCTGCTTTGCTCTGTGCGAAGGGTAAATATAATCTTGTGTTCTTTCTTAGCATAGAACTGAAGATTCTCTGTTGACTACTACTGGAGAGCCACTAAATGGTCTAATAGCTACTCTGGTGCAACTTGGGAGGATGGGAAAACATGAAGAACTGCATTTGGTGGAAACTGGCCTTTCATATTCAGAAAACCACCACTTATAAAAAAAGAAAAAGAACATTCCACTCCACCCCCAGCACTGTTGCATCCATTTTCCATCCCACTTAATCCTGTTCAAGGTTTCAGGGGGAGCTGCAGCGACACTTTGAGTTGCTTGCGTCAGCTACTGTATGTGAAAAACAATACAAAAATATAAAACACGCATGGATCATCCAGAGGCATGGGTAGGGTAGGGTGAAAATGTGGTAACAATCAAGAGACATCATGCGGCATATTGCATCACAAGCGCATCTCTGCGTGAAACAGAGCACAGTGTGCCTCTCTATGGATCTAATCTCAACCCCTACTGCTAAATCTGACAGCAACCGTGTGTGGGTTTGGTGTGCGCGGTGCAGATAGCTCACAATATGAACACTTTTTGCGCACGCCACAGATGACGAGTGGAGTTGTTGCCCTGAATTATGAGCAGGATCGAAAGAACTTCACCTGCTGTCTCTTTCGGCCGCTCCACCTTCAATGACGGTCTTCACGAAGATGCCCAGTTTCTCCAGGCCTGCATCAGCGCCAACACCCATTCCGATGATGCTGATCCCCAAGCCGTCGTCATCTGAATGCAGGTGGAACACAGTTGAACTCGTCTTATATGTATATATATGTGTGTCTGCCAAGGTTACGATAATGACCAACAAAATAACTGAAATGAAATAATATAAAAACAAAACTGCTTAAAAAAGCTCAAAACAATGTGACGTTGATAAACCCAATTTAAACTGATTATATAATTTTAATTTCAGTTATTGGAGGAAGGTCACACGTCATTTGAGAATTATAGTTTATATTACTCGACTACAATATTCAGTGACCTTTTTTAATCTTACAAAAATACTCCAGAATTAAAAAAAAAACCTAAAAGAAATACTAAATCTAATAAAAAGTAAAGTGAAACAAAACAATGTATTAAAACTAGCTGAATTTCACAAAACAAAAGTAAAAAAAGGAAATCAAACTATCATGAAAATCCCCAAACTATTATAACCCCGGTGTGTGCATATCACGGTTGTCAATCGGGCGCTACGGGGTTGCGAAAGAACGGAGGATAACTCAACAGCAATTCCAAAAATTAATCAGAGGCAAAAAAGCAAGCAGATGGCGTGAAGATAAGAAAGGGAAAATGCATATAAATAAACATGCATACGGACAGTGCTTTATTACTGGAAGGAAAAAGAAGAGCAGAGGCATCCCCAAAGCGCACGCCGACCTTCACTCATACGGCATTATTGTTCTGGAAGGGAATTTCCTTTCCAGTGCACTATTCGTCCCATTTCCATCCCCCATTCATTATTCATAAGAGCTTAGGGTTACGTAACGGCCACTGGAAGGTGATAACGCGCAACACAAAGCGCTCTATTTTAGATCAGGGGCAAAGTAGGAAGCTGGGGAGACATTTGTGAGAACCTTTGCTTTGCCTCATACTTGTAAGCTAAGTTGTCACGGGATGTTGAATGCTGAATAGTTCTTACGATGTTTATTCAGGCAGATCAGATCCAGAGGAAACTACACTTAGTACACCCTTGGGAAATACGACACCTCACAAATCGGGTGGGCGATTTTGCCAAATTTGTCATGACGATTTTCCTTCCCACCTTTCTCCAGCTCCACGGGGAAAAGCTCGAGCTTCTCGACCCGCTTTTCCAGCTCGTACTCTGCGGACGAGGCCACGGGATCCACTTCCTCGTTGCGGCGGTCGTAGTCCTCGTTGGAGTAAGTGTTGAATACCTACAGAGGTTCAAATACATGGTATGAAATTAGCTCGAAAACAAGGAGTGGGGGGCGTATTGCAGGATGTTTTCGGAAGCCTATCCTGGAAAATTTCCCCCACGAATACAATCCAAAATAAAAACGCCGGCTCATGCTCAGTTCTGATTGGGTCAATGAGGTATTTTTAAAAAAAAATGTTTTTGTGTATTCTCATATTTGGATTCACATTTTTTTAAACCTTGAGCTATCTTTCTCGAAAATTATTTACTTCTGGAAGGCAGACAGTGAGTGTAAATGTGTGGCCCGCCACAGTAAGTAATTTTTCACTTTGTCATCCAAGCATATTATTCCAGACACTTCAACCTGTACTACCCAAAAATAAATGTTCCCCTAAAAACTACCAACACAAATATTGGCTGACAACAAGCTGTTTGTCAGAGAATCGTTCAGAGATGGGTTTTTTTCCCCCCACTTCTTCCTCTGAACCGCACAGGACGTCTCTCTCCTCATCTGCAATAGGCAGCTGTCACTTCACATCTCATCACGGGCAGCAGGATGCCCTCATATCTCCCTGCATGCGGTGGAGAGAAGACAGCTCGCTGAGAGCGGCGCGCAAGCTGTCGCCAGCAAGCGAGCGGCCTTGTTACATGTACGGTGCCAAAGGCCAGCTGCAGGTGCTGAGTAAAAAGAGGCGCCATGCCAGTTTGCCAGCACAAGTGTCGAAAATGCCAACAACGCCATCAGCGTCCGGTGTATGTTTTGGGAGGGGCTCAAGTGTGATATACATTGGGTGATTTGGTTGAAGATTTCCATGACATTCACGTTCCTTGATTGCCACGCAGCCACCGCCGTTGGTGGTGTTTTACATTCTTTCTCAGTTTAGGCGCGGTGGGTGTGTCAAAGTCTGGATGGGAGAATACGCGTAAATGAAAAATGGGCAAGTTCAGACACGTAAAAAAAGAACTGAAGTGCAAATGGGAGAATATGGCCGAGAAAACAATTTTGCACCTATGTGAGGTTGTGCCATAGGCCAATGAGCAATGCAATGCGTCTTCATCAATAAATTATGGCTGACAAAACGCAATGTAAGGAGTGCGCACGTGGTCAACACAAAAAAAGTGAAAATTGTCCTAAAGTTGACAATGCAGAACAAGAAATGCATGTTTGACACAATGCACACACTATAGTTTGCACAGTTTTTTTCCTATTCTTTCCTCTGCATGACCTTTCTTGTCATCAATCATTCAGTGTGATCAGCAACTCTGCATTATTTACACTGTAACGCACACACAGAGATCCCCAGACAGTATATCTGGCTTCATCGAGCAAAATCAATTGTAAATGTTTTGTAACTTAAACATTTGAGCAACTGGAAAGCCGACAGCACAACAGGTTTTTGTAATTGCTAACATGGCTCTGAAAAATGTATTTAACACGAAGGATGAGATTGGCAAATACTATAATAATATGCTGTAGCCCTCGAGGATGTTTTCAAAATGGACTCTGCATGCTTCATTATGAAGACATTACAAACACATAATCGTTTCTTCATTAATATTTTAAAATCGGCTCACGGCAACGATAATAAAAATACATAGGCGGTGTAACAAACGGCGCCATTAAAATAAAATAAAAAAATGTGGGATGCTCGTGGCTGATTGACTGCTTCTGGGGGTTTCTCATCACTGCAGAAATACCCTGAAACAGATGCTACTATTGGCAGTCACTACTGTCGTTAATGGCTCCTCACAGTCACCGATGGCTGGGACGACAAACACATTAGCATGCGGAACATGGGGAGGGGAGGGGGTGGGGGGTCAGGGAGAGGGATTGAGGACAGATGAGGGTCAACCTTTTGAGAAGAAGGCATTTAAGACGCGTTCCCTTACGGGGAAGGCGAGCAAATGGGAGCCCATGTGAAAGGGCTATGACAGGGAATATACACAACGGGAGAAAGAATTATTTGATTCCTGCTGAATTTTGCCATTTATGTGGTGGCTTATTATGCTAACAGACAGAGAATGGCTGCAAACATTACTATATGTCATACATGATACAAATGATGTAGGTTTCAGCTCCCTCCAAACTAGGTCACTCTCATGATCCCATATGAATATTGAGTTTCATGAACTCTGTTTACGCAGACTAATTGTTTGGCGACAAATGCATTTCCCTAAGCCGAAAGGCTGACTTTTCACAAGTCCAACTAGTCCTGTGGGGTCGCTAGTCAATAACAGGGCACGGACAGAGACAGATGGATTACTTTTCAGACAAAATTACATAACGCAGCTGCTTTGACTTTCCAGAGGCCCGAAAGCGAAACGCAGACTTATTTGTGCTTCTTTTGTGTTTGTATGTGGGCATTTTGAGATTATGTGTGTGTGTCCAGAGAATGCATGTCAGGCATTCCGGTGGCAACAACAGGGAAAGAAAGTATGCATGTGGGTATCTTGTGTATGTGTGCAGCTGGTTTCCTTGCAAGTGCGTGTCGATACACGCTTGTGTGCCATTCGGGTGTCGTGAGGAGCCATCTTAGCATGAAAATGAAAATGTCAGTCACATTTCCCAATGTGAGGAACGAGCAGAGCCCCACCGGGATGAAGAAAAGGCGTGGGGAGCCCATGTGAAAGAGGTTAAATAAAGCCAAGTGTCAGCGTATAAAAGGATGGTGAGAAAATGAAGGGGTAGCGGTGGTAAACAAAGAGTCCAGTTCACGGGGGAGAGGAGAGTAATATCTAGTAAGAAAGTGACTCAGATGATTCATGGTTTTGAGGCGTAGAGTCACAAAGCCATGGACTGGCAGTAGGTGGAAATGAAGAAAGAAAAGTTGAGGACTGGGGGAGGCTGAGAGTCAGGTGTGGCGGTATGAAGCCTTGTGCCGTCACCATCCCAGTGTCTTTATCGCGGGGGATATGGAGCCTTGCGCCGTGAGGGGTCGTCACAGGGGACAATGTATCTCAGTGCGATAGCACGAGCTGTATGCTTTCATTTAACAATGCTTCTTGTTATAAAGCAAGCGAGGATGGAGACGAGTGTTGGGAGAGAAGCGTTGGCCTCATTTAGAAATGTAAAAATGGCTCAAGTGTGGGAGTTACTGTCAAATACACATGGAGGTGTTATGATGCAATTTCATATTCGGAATGAAACATTTAGATGTAATTCTATGTTATACATATGTATGTCGACTTACAAATAAACGATAAATGTGGACACGTTTGTATTATACATTTGAATAGCTCCTAATTACAAGAGGTTTTTATTTTCATGCAAAATCCTGTTTAATGCAACTCTGTTATTGAATCACGTTAGAATGTGTCCTTTGTGCTACGACAGCTCACCCTATTTGCATTCCATTAGTTGTACCTGTGACCACCCGCCCTCGCGCCACACAAAAGCCGCAGCCGCTGGAAGGATGATGAGGCAAAGGAACGGATGTCTCGCGGGGATCGGGAGTGACCTTGACAGGCATAAAGGAGGTGAGAAAAAGAAGCCAGCCAGTCTTTCTTATGTTAAAGGTAAGTGGCCGACGAGGGTGAACGGTCCAGTTCAAGGCCAAACTTCCTGTCATGTCACCATGCGTCATCCTGCATGTGAGCAAGTGACATCTGACATGTCGGGGAACGCCAACGGCTTAGTCAGCGGTGTCTTTTTTTTTTTTTTTTGCCTGCATGTCGACTGTGCATACAAAAGGAACGCACATTTATTTTTAAACGATATGGCTGAGATTTTAACAGCACATTATTTGGATCCAAGTCGATGCCAGCGCCAACTATTACTAGGTCAGCGATTGAACAAAGGACGCTGGGGGGTAGGGGTACTAAACAGGGCAGAGAATAGTTCGCACAATTCAATGAGAACAGACAATGCCTTTATTATGGCGGTGGCGAGGATCACAACTACCACAACTACACTGTGACATCGCATGGCCATTTCATTTTATGACTAGTTTTGTCTATTTTCCACTGCACAGAATCCATTCGTCCCTCTTTTTTTTTTTTTGAGAATCCCGCTGAGGCTTGTGGGGGAACGCGAAAGGCACACAACCCCCCTGGAATGGCTGCCAGTCGATCACAGGTCACGTGTGTAGAGAATTTCCAATGCTTCACAAATAACATTATGCCGTCCTTTGATTGGTTGGTCAGAGCAAAACTCCACGTTTGATATCTATCTGTAGCCATCTGCACACATCAATAAATGTCAACATCAGAATCTATGGTGGATAAAATCCATCCATCCATTTTCCGATCCGCTTTATCCTCACAAGGGTCGCGGGGGGTGATGCAGCCTATCCCAGCCGTCTTTGGGCAGTAGGCGGGGGACACCCTGAACCGGTCGCCATCCAATCGCAGGGCATACAGAGACGGAACAACCATCTGCGCTCACACTCACACCTAGGGACAATTTAGAGTGTTCAATCAGCCTGCCGTGCATGTTTTTGGAATGTGGGAGGAAACCAGAGTACCCGGAGAAAACCCACAAACATGCAAACTCCACACAGGGAGGCCAGAGCTGGAATTGAACCCGGCACCGATAAACAGAATTCATCAATCCCAAAAGATTTCCAAACAGATCAAATGACTTGGACGTTACTTATAAACCGAGAAATATCGTGTCGCAGAGGTTGGGACACAAAGCTTTGTCGGGACAGTAATACTGATAATCTCATGCAGAAGGGACGAGACTATGGGTGGAAATAAAAGTGTGGTGATAAATGATAGGTCCATGACAAAAGTGGGAACTGACCAGGATAAAAATAAATAATTAAACACATCATAAAAAAATAGCAAGGCAAGTCTCGCCTTTCTCTTGATCATTAAAATTGCATCCCCGCGGGATCATCAGGTGGCACAGACACAAGCAAACAAAAACGTCCTGGCATGAATAATGCACACACATATCCAAAACCCGGGCTCAGAGCTGCTCGACCTGTCAAGGATGAGGATGATGAAAAGAACTATTGCAAGAAAAAGTTGGGCCCCCCGAACTAACATTTTCACATTGAAGACGTGCATCAAAAG